TTGCAGCTCAAAGGGAAGCGGCAGATCAGATCCTGGCTAGGAGCCTATATCTGCTGTGCACATTCCAGGCTTGGAAAATTGGCAGCTTTCCTCAGTTGTCAACTCACAGAGAATGTTCTCTTAGCCCCCAAGGTGTTTCAAGACACAGTAGGGTGCCAAATGTGTACCTTCTGACTAGGTTCAGCCTTGGGATCCTCTAGCCTTCATAGTGGATGCTCTGGTAACGCTGTGGGTTCAGTTCAAACTGACCTATACTTTTCCTCCTTTGAAACTCCTTCCTCTCCTGCAGCGCAGGATCAAGATGGAGGGCATGCTAGTTATTTTCATCAAAACAAACTGGTCCAGGTGGACTAGGTACTCGGACTCTCCCAGATCATCCAGATCTTCTTTTACAATGACCCATTTATCATACTGCTTTTAATGCATTCTCTACATTAAGGTAAACAAAACCCTAGTATCTTTCAGTGCATCTGATATCCAAAGCATTCCCTTTTCCCTACTGATCTGTGTTGCTTCCCTGAATTTCTGTATTCTTGAGGCAGCAGAGCGTTAGGCACCTGCTGCCTTTAGACCAAATGCTAGGGAAGGTGGGGGTTGCTGGATGCTGTGTGTGTCTGTGAATGCACACAGCATCGGCTAGGAGCTTGCCTGCATGGGTATTTCCTAGGTTGTCCTTATAACTTTGTTTGCCAGTGTCCATTCTCCTGATGGCAGCAATATAACCCACTGTATGTGATTTACTTAATCCTGTTTCCCTTAAGGTATGCCAAGAAAAGGATTTTACTTTAAGTCAAAAATCCTGTTTGTTAAAATAATAGCAGAAAGCTGCACAGCAGGTGGAGTATAAACAGTTATCTGATATATTCGACCTTGATCCCTGGCTCACACTGATGCTAATCTGATGTGGTTCAGATGTGTTCCAAAAGGCATAGATTTGCATGTCAAGTGAAATAACATTGTTTTCTATGAAGGCTGTTCATATCTATGCGGTACTATTCTGATGAGGCTAAAAAAAGGGTCCTGTGTGTGTTTCGTGCAGTGCGATTCTAAGCTCTATAGATTATTAAAATTGCATTACATTTGCGGCTGTCAAAGCACAAATCGCACTGTAAATTCACACTCAAAACCACATGCAAATCACACTGCATCCAGTGGGAACCTAGGCTGAGACTAGAGAGAAAAAAGGGGGTCACATGATCATCCTTGGTTTTTATTTTTCGTTTTTTTTTTTGTTTTTTTTTTATGTGCACCAGCTAGTGGAGTCAGTAGGAGCCAGCACATCACTGCAGTAATGCCCACTTCAACAGTGATTTACATTTTGCAGATATCATGCTTATCTAAGGCAGCCTTTCTCAACCAGGGTGCCTTGGCAACATGTCTAAAAATTGCCCAAAACATGTATACAAGCCAACGGGTGGAACAAGCCTGTCTTTTAGTTAAACAAAGCCACAGGTTTTCATTGTGCATTATTATGACCTTCTATCCACCAGCGTCCTGACAACCAATGACATCAGTTGATGAGGAGGATGTCAACTGCCTGTACAGCATCCTAGTTTGACCCTCCCCCGCCCCTCTCCATCAGGCTGGGGTCACATTAGCTCAATGATGGATAAACACTGAGGGAGAAGAGAAACATTGGAATACTAGTCAGTACCAGTGGGCAAAAGTGTTTTTGCTTTGGAAGAATAAATGACCTCTAATGTTGGGTGTCCTACATGTGTGGATGTTGCTGCGTTATATAAAACTATTAGAATCGTTTTTCACATTTTAGGATGGGGTGACCTTTTAAAATTATGGACAGTCTTGAGGCACCCCATTTTAGAATGGGGTGCCTCAAGACTGTCCATGATTTTAAAGGGTGCCTTGGGACTGTCCATAATTTTAAGGGGTGCCTTGAGTGAAAAAAGGTTGAGAAACACTGATCTAAGGTAATGCATACAGCTTTGCCTAAGGGTACATTTACCCTTGAGAATGCACCAGCAGTCTGTTTACATGCGAGCACCCCAGTGGGGATTCCCACAATTAGCTGTAAGAGGCAGCCCCATTGAAATCAAACAGAGGCTGCCAGTTCCTGCAGCTGCTTGTGTCCAGGGTCGATCGCTGCGTGAACAATTGCATGTGAATGGGCACGATTAGCTGTGGGAGCTGATAGCTTCCCTTTGCTTTCAATTGGGCTGGCTCTCACAGCTACTTGTGGGAATCCCCGCTGGGGTTCTTGCATGTCATTGGACTGCAGGTGTATTCGCAAGTGTGAATGCACCCTTTGGGCACGTTCACACTTGACTTTATTTCTAACGCTTGCCAAACGCCCCTATAGCATTTGACAGGCATTTGGGAAGCGTTTTTAACGCTCCTCAAACGCTACCAAAGCACCCCATGCGCGGTTTTGGGGTGGTTGATAGGCGTTTGCCAAGCATTAAAACCGCACCACAAACTCCTATAATGAAGTTAAATGGTATTATGGCTCCGCAACCACACCGCAAACGCCTGCCAGGCATTTGCAGAGCGGCACCATAGACTTAAATGGGAGGGGAGGCTTCAACTGAACAGCACCTCCTGACTGAGAAGCATTAAAAACGCTTCCCAAACGCCTGTCTGATGCCTGCTGACAAAGCTAGTGTGAAATGAGCCTAAATGTGCCCAGTAAAAGATAATAAACCAAATGCTGTGCTGCATGTGTTTAAAATCAAGATCACGCTGCACAGCATGAGACACTAGACTTATCTACCCTTCTACACTCCTTTTATAAAGAGTGGATTATACAGCACAAATTACCCAATACAGTAAGGAGCACAGCAAGTCGTTTGCACTCACTGAGAAACAACACTTACAACTTGCTTACAATTACAACTACTTACAATACATTGCAGCTGAGGAGTGTGCAAAGAAAGAAGGCAGGTTCTTCATCCACATGAAACTGGTTGTCTGAAAGTTGTGTGCACCACCAGGACACAGCAGCAGTGATTAACACCCTTTGTAGACCAGGAGATGTAGCCATGACACTCAGTGAGTCTTGTGGCAAGCTGGGAGTCTTGGACAAGAAGTATGCCTGCCGCAAAACCCTTCAAAGAAAATTTAGAGGCACATGGTGAGCAGGGGAACAGTTTTGTGAATGATCGCTTCTCGGCCTTTTGGCTAAGATCAAGTGTAGTATCTGTTCTTCTCAGTGTCCAGTGGGGGTGCTCCCGGCCATTCTAGGTTTGTGGGGATGGCTGTTGTATAGTACCCTCACTGGTATGATGGGGGTCTGGAAGGCTAGACCGGAGGGACAGAAACCAGGGAGCGCCATGATTCGTTCTGGGGCCTTGGGAGTAATTCCTCTGGGAAAGCTGGAAAGACCCAGTACCTCCTGATTTGGACGGATCTACCTTGGTCTGGCCAGGGGCTGGGAAGGCAGAGAGTCCGCAAACACGGTGCCCCCTGAGTAGTTGCCTCAGGGGTGCTCTGAGTAGCACTTGGGTGTGGGACCCCACGATGCGAATGAGCACATGGTCACCGAGTTTAAACACTTTTTGCACTGCGCCTCTAGGACCGGGCCTTTTGGTCAAGTTCTGGGCAATTTTTTTGCTACAGGCCTCAGGGTCTGGTCAGTGCACAATTTGGGCACGACACTTTTTATTATTTTTATAGATTTATTTAATTATTTATTTATTTATTTTCCTCACCCCACGTTTGTCACTTTTTACTTTTGTGTGTGTGTTTTTTTTTTTCTCACAGGATGGAGGGTGTGGGTCCTCGGGCCTGCCCTGAAGTCTAGGGGGAGGATGTGTGGCCCTACGGTTCCTTCCTCCCCTGTCCCTAGGGGGTTTTCTCTTCGGGAGAACCCCCTGGCCTAGTACTGGATGTCTGGCTTCGGCTGGGCATAAGGAACGGCGGTCCACCAGGCCTTTTGGCCAGGAGGACCAAATGGGAACCTTGTCCCTGTCAGGAGCTTTGTGCCCCGGGGGATCAGGGTAGTGGTCCAACCCCTTCGGGGGTAGGACAAAGCACACCCTTAAGTGCACTTTTTGTGTGGTGTTTTGCACTTGCACTTTTTTGTGAACACTTACGGGTTTTTTTTTCGTTATAGTTGCACGTTTGCGGACTTAAAAAAAAAAAAAAAAAAAAAAACAGTTTTGTTAATGAACAGTTTTGCACCAGAGAAAGAGAAAAGATGTCACAAAAACAGGTGAAGATGAAGTTTTTCTTTAAAGGCTAAGTTCACTTATTTGAAAAAAAAAAAAAACTGCATATAAGTTTTTGCAGGTAAAAAAAAACTGTAATTTATTTTTTTTTCACAGGAGCCTGCACAGCATTGCACCCCCATTCAGTGGATCGCAGATGCAATGTCAGGCTCCTGCACACACTGCCTGCTGCTCTGCTGTTCGTACCTCTTTTTGAAAAAAAAAAAATGCATATAACGTTTTTGCAGGTAAAAAAAACTGTATTTTATTTTGTTTTTCACGAGAGCCTGCACAGCATTGCACCCCCATTCAGTGGATCGCAGATGCAATGTCAGGCTCCTGCACAGACTGCCTGCTGCTCTGCTGTTCGTACCTCTGTACAGGCTTTCAGCTCCTGAGCTGTAGTGTGACTGGACTACAAGTGTGCTGATCAGCACATTTACAGTATATTGAAACTACAAGTCCGTCTGCCACGGTTGCAGGCAGGATTTGAAGTTCAGTTTTTCACTAATTGCTGTGAATAAATGAGGCTGCTGTGCATGTGGAGCTCTGTACAGCCGTGCCATTTTCATCAGGTTTGGGGGAAAGAAACCCCTGCCCGCTGTCACAGGGAGAAGGGCTCTGGCAGTGGGAGGTGGACAAATAGGAATATGTTACACCTTAAATATGGATGTAACATATAACATTCTCCTAAAAGTGAACTTCGTCTTTAATTAAAAAGGAAACCAAGACCAAGCAAATGTGGCTGCTGCAGATTGTTATCCTAGTCAGAATTCCCCTTTAATCATTATCAGATAACTGTATATACATTTTTTTCTTTTTTTTTTTTTTTGGCAGTGTGCACACGGAAGCCTAGAAGATCCCAAGGTCTTAACACATCATAAGCTAGTCCATGCTGCATCAGAGCGCGTCCTGTCTGACACCAAGACTGTCGCAGAAGAAAACCTTCAGGACAGAGGTGCTTTTTTTTTTTTTTTTTCTTTTCTTTGCTGTGGATTGAGGATTAAAACACCTGTGGGGTTTTTTTTTTTTTGCTGGTTTTTCCTCCATTAGGAACATTCATCCTCTCTATTAGTCCCTCCCCTCATGCCAGGGTACTAGGTGTAATTCTGGACTCCGATCTGTCCTTTCAGCCACAAATCGAATCACTGACCAATTCTTGTAGACGTCACCTCGGTAAGATCTCCAACATGCGCCCCCTTTGAACCATTAAAATCACTAAGCAACTTATTCACTCCCCTTTTATCTGTCGCCTTGACTATTGCAACTCCCTCCTCATTGGCCTACCTAAATTGCAGGCTATCCCCTCTTCAGTCTATCATGATTGCTGCTGCCAGACTCATCCACCTTACCAACTGTTCCATGTCTGCTACCCCTCTCTGCCAATCCCTCCACTGGCTTCCCATTGCCCAACGAAGAAAATTCAAAACATTAACAATAACATATAAAGCCATTTATAACTCTGCCCCAAATTACATCACCAATCTTGTCTCCAAATATCACCCAAACCGTCCTCTCCGATCCTCCCAAGACCTACTGCTCTCTAGCTCCCTTGTCTCCTCCTCTCATGCTCGTCTCTAGGAGTTCTCCAGAGCCTCCACAATCCTCTGGAACTCTCTACCCCAATCTGTCCGACTATCAACTACTCTGTCCACTTTTAGGCAATCAATGAAAACTTATCTCTTTAGGGAAGTCTATCCTGCCTTCAGCTAATAACTAAATCAGATTTTTCTCCCATCAGTTCATCCCCCACAGTTATTACCTTTTGTTCCACCAGCCCCTCCCTCTTAGATTGTAAGCTCCAAGGACCAGGACCCTCCTAACCCTCTTGTATGGATTTATATCATTGCTGTATTGTCTCCCTTTATATTGTAAAGCACTGAGCAAACTGTTGGTGCTATATAAATCCTGTATAACAATAATATCTCTGTCCTCTCTACAGATGTCTTACTGTTAATTAAGAAGCGCGCACCACCTCCGCCACCCAAGATGGCTGATGTTTCTACAGAGGAGAAGGTGGGTCAGTGTATTTATTTTGCCATTTTTATAGGTTAAAAATAAGTCAGCAGCTACAAACACTGGAGTTGCCTACCTATAATAAAAAGACACTTACCAATCCAGGGATCCAGCCCTGTCCTCACCTTGGCTGGTTCTTTGCCGGTCCCCCAGATCCTCAGTGCCGCTATGATTACTGTGTGAAACCGTCTCTGACTCCCTGCGACTTTACAGCTAACTCCCCACTGCATAAGTTGTGCTGCGCTTTGTAAATAGACACACAGCCTTCTGAGATCTATGATGTGTCGCAGGAGGTTTCAGATAGGGAGGGAGAAAAAGTACAGTGCTGTGAAAAAGTATTTGCCCCCTTCCTGAATTTTTATATTTTTTTTAAATGATTAAGCGCATCAAACAAATTTTAATATTACACAAAGATAACCCGAGTAAATACAAAATGCAGTTTTTAAATGATTATTTAATTTATTAAGGGGCAAAAAAACTGTCCAAACCTGTCTGGCCCTATGTGAAAAAGTAAATGCCCCACAAACCTAATAACTGGTTGTGCCACCCTTGGCAGCAACAACGGCAATCAAGCTTTTGCGATAACTGGCAATGAGTCTTTCACATCACTGTGGAGGAATTTTGGCCCACTCTTCTTTGTAGTGTGACAAATATGCAAAGAAAATAAATAAATTAAAAAAAAAAAAAAAAAAAAATCAGAAAGGGGGCAAATACTTGTTCACAGCACTGTAGGTGATCTCAGTGGAAGTGGGAGCAGGTACCTGCTCCCTAAAAAAGAAAAAGTGCCAAACATAGAAGAGGAGCGGGAAGGAGGATGATCAGCAAAATTTCCCTTTGAGGACTGGTTCACACTTATGCGGTGCGGAAAACCGTATGTGATTTGGTCAAGAATCGCACGCTTTCCTGTTCAAATAACATGCAGTTCTTTTGCAGTGTGATATGAGCCAATCATTTGGTATGGCTCAAATTGCACAATGCACCCACAGGAAAGGTACAGGACCCTTGTTTTCCACACTGGAATTAGATCGCATGGGCAGTCACACCCATGTGATTTGATGCAGCCAATCACATTGCATTTTGCAAACTGTTTTGGCGGTGTCATAAAAGTAACATTGACACCCACAGTATTACGCATGAATGGAGTACAATTCTGATCCCATGCAGAAAATGCACAGGAATTGCTGTGAATCCCACACTGCATCAGTGTGAACCTGGCGGTAAGGTGAAGTGGCAAACCGTTTTTAAAAATACAACGGAAATGGCAGGGAAAACAACAATCATCATGTTTGGTTAAACCAAAGTTGCTTGTTTTGCTTTGTTTCCTAAGAAAACAACATAACGTCATTCTTGTTCTTGACAGAGAAAGCAGGAACAGAAAGCACCAGACAAGGATGCCATCCTCAAGGCCACTGGCGGTCTACCTGTTCGCAATGCGGACCGTTCCGTTGCTCATCACAACATGAGAGATGTAAGTGTTTGCTTGCGGTGGAACTGTAGTTGGAAACTCTTCCTTCCCTTTTTTTTTTTTTTTTTTTTTTTTTTGTAATTTGGACATTGTGGCACTACATCTTGTTTTTCTTGTACAGTTTCAGACAGAGCTTCGGAAGATTTTGGTGTCCCTTATTGAAGTTGCACAAAAGTTGTTGGCTCTAAACCCTGATGCTGTTGAACTCTTTAAAAAAGCAAATGGTGAGTTGAAGGAGCCAATCCAAATAAAAGTTAGTCCGTGAACTGATGACCTTATTGGCTGGGTATTGGTCACATGAATGGTGTTTGGTTGTACTATTACCCTTGTTATAGTAAACAGTACTCATTTGGAACCCTTCTTTATTTTTCCACAGTGTTGATTGCTTAAAAGCATTACTCTATGCAAATATTTAACACATTTAAATTTAAACACCTGTTAATCTAGTGATGCATTTAGTAGAAAAATTAAACTCATTTCTAAATACATTTTTTGCCTGAACCTGTCTTGATGATAGTCTCCTGTAATCACCTGCACATCAGAATTCATGATGCTTTGCACAGTTATTTTTGGTTCTATCTAAATGTAACTGTAGATATTAGGTGACTTTGGCCTTATGTAGTTGATTTGGAATTGTATCTCCATAAACATGCCGTTATTCTGTTAGGGGATAGGCTGCGGTATCTGTCGGTGGCCTCCCACCTGCATCTCTCCCCATATACACAAACAGGACATGTGGTTGAGCTGAGCTGTCATATGAGTGCACACAATCCTATTGCCTAAGGGTGGACAGATTGTGCACATACCCCTCCACCCCTATAAGTCTGTGAGCTGCTTTATACTGAGCCACGGCGCCACCTGCCTGGAGTTTGCGTGTTCTCCCTGTGCCTGCGGGTACTCCGGTTTCCTCCTACACTCCAAAGACATGCTGGTAGGTTAATTGGATCATGTCTAAATTGGCCCTACTATGTGTATGTATGAATGTGAGTTAGGGACCTTAGATTGTATAATCTAAGATTGATAATATATATGTAATAAATACTGTGATTGTCTGGATTGACACAATATGTGTGCTGCGATTCCTGCATTGTCCATTGAGGAATCTGGGGAAAAATGTGACTGCAGAAGCATAAATTTTTGTCAGGGGTCACCTGTCAGATTGGCGAGTATCATTGAGGTAGAGGATGTGGTTCAAAACTGTGTGGAATGCTTGCACACAAAAAAAAAATTAAAATATTGCTCCATTCATGCTATACAGCGCAGATGAACAGATCTCCCACTAAGGCTATTGTATTTTGACAGCCATATTGCTATTGAGAACAAACCTCCTGCTGCGGCTATTGTTTTTTGACAGCCAGTCCCGCTCCTCTGCCAAAAAATTCCATCAGGCTTCTTCAAGTCAATTGAACGATCGACTTTTGTACAGCAGAGCAGGGCTGACAGTGCCCTGACAGAATGAATTTCATCTGGTTCCTCAAGAACCAAACAAAATTCGTACAGTGCATGGCCAGTATAAGACTGTATGTGTTTATTAGCCATATCATTTAAGTTACATTTTTTTTTCCCCAGAGTTCTTCTAAAAGAAATAAGAATTTGTTGATGCATTTTAGTGTCATTTATTGCTTCTGAAGTCATGACAGTGGTGCTTTGCCTGCTCTTACCTTGGTGCACTCTGTGCTATTTGTGGTGATTAAAGCTCAGGGATAATTCTGTCCTGGTGTTATTTACAGTAACATTCCAGTATCTCAAGTAACAGAAGACCATCGCTAGCCTCTTGCTGACTATATATCCTCTATATTTCGTCCTTTCCTCAGCACAAGAGTTTGACTGGTTACAGCAGCTCTGTCACTTGAGGATGATGTTTTATGTTTTTCAAAGACTACATAGGTTCCCAAAGTAATACATTTTAAAAACTGCATCTATTTGTTTCATGGAAATTTCTCTGGCCTTTCTCCTTCAGGGTGACTTATCACCTATTACACAGTTAATTTTTGTTATAACCACACACTTCAGAACTTCTCTGAGAGTGGTTGTCCAGATGACAGGCTTATTCGGAGAGATTGGCAAAATAATAGGCATGTCCAGCTGGGTAAATGTGCTTGATTTCAGTTTGTGCTATATTAGGTATGGAGGCTTCATGTAATGAAATGTGCAAAAAAGAAAAGACTGCAGTGGCCAAAATTATCAGTATCATCTTGATTGGACATACTCCTAATATTTGTAGGATCTCCATACCTGTTTATCTTTGTCATAGTTGCTTTTTTTATTTTTTTTTTTTTATTTATAGAGCAGGGAAGGATTACAACCCACCCCTGTCTAGTTTTTATTTACTGCTTCCAGAGATCTCTCCTTACTTTGTGACAAAGTGATAGTGGTTTCTAGTGAGCAAAGATCGGCATTAGGGACACAAACAGCATTAAATATTATTTCTGCTTTGATGCAGGTTTTCCATCACTTCTGTCTTGTGAATCCGTTGTTACCATGGCAGTGGAGCCCGAGGCAGCAGTAAAAACCTGATAGTGGTTCTGATCCTAGATCAGTCTATCCAAAAAAAGTGTTTTGGTCGCAAACATACATTTTAATGGTACACGGTGTTAGATGTGTATCTTTTTGAATGTAGCAATTATTTGTTGAGCAAGTAATTTTTTTATGCAAAATGTTTTTTTAAAAAGCGACATATTTTACAAATGATCATTTATTACTATCAAAAAATGGCAGAAAAGCTTGGTCCTGATGCCAACAGGGAGTGTGAGCTGCAGTACCCTCAGATTCCCTAAAGGAGGTGAATTGTTCCATAGTTGAATAGAGTCAACTCTAGCAATAATTTGTTCAAAATGAAGATTAGACAACATCCAATTATATTCTATTTATTATGTGGCCTCCAAAATAATATGAATAGGGAGAAAACAAACAGAAAAATCATATATTTTAGTTTATGGTAGTCTAGTGGAGAGGCAAGGTACAGTACAAAGTGGGTCCAGCTTTCCATTAGTCAGTTGGCAGGCTAGATCTCACACTGTGTTCCAAAGGATCTGACTATATGGGCAGTTCCAGAAAATAAGTTGCAGGATGTAGTTCTAGACAGCCTCTAAAACATTGGTCATCAACCCTGGATACATGGTGTGAAGGTTTTGAGGAGTCAAGTACTACTGAATCAACAGTTTGATGGCAGTCTCACAAACTATAAAGGAACGTGCTTTTCCTAATATTTGTAAAAATCAGTTGCCACTGTTGGGTGAGAGAACAAAGCAATGTCACTACCTCTTCCCCGGGCTAACCTATTACCGTAGTAGCAGTGGGTAAATGGAGATAGATTAATTTAGTAATAAAAATGTGAGATCAGACCCCTAGCCTCAGGGCGTCCATAGATACAGTTGCAAGAAAAAGTATGTGAACCCTTTGGGATTACGTGGAGTTTTGCATGAATTGGGCATAAAATGTGCTCTGAACGTCATCTAAGTCACAACAATAGAAGAACACTGAACATAATACTACACAAACATTAGATGTTGCCATGGTTTAATTGCACATAACATGTAAACATTCACAGTGCAGGGAGGAAAAAGTATGTGAACCTTTGGACTTAATAATGGTTGACCCTCCTTTGACAGCAATAACCTCAACCAAATGTTTCCTGTAGTTGCAGATCAGACCTGCACAATGATCTGGAGTAATTTTGGACAACTCCTCTTCACAAAACTGTTTCAGTGTAGCAATATTCTTGGGATGTCTGGGTGTGAATCGCTCTCTTAAGGTCATGCCACAGCATTTCAATCGGGTTGAGGTCAGGACTCTGAGTGGGCCACTCCAGAAGGCGTATTCTGTGCTGTTGCAGCCATTCTTTTGTTGAATGACTTGTATGCTTTGGGTCATTGTCCTGGCATCACCCATTCTCTAGCTTCAGTTGGTGGACAGATGGTCGTAGTTCCTGCAAAATGTCTTGATAAACTCTGGAATTTATTTTCCCATCAATGACAACAATCCGTCCAGGCCCTGAGGCAGCAAAGCAGCCCCAAACCATGATGCTCCCTCCGCCATGTTTTACAGTGGGGATGAGGTTTTGATGTTGGTGTGCTGTGCCTTTTTTTCTCCACACATAGTGTTGTGTGTTCTTCCCAAAAAAAACTCAGTCTTGGTTTCATCTGTCCACAGTATATTTTTGCCAGTAGTGCTGTGGAACATCCAGGTGCTCTTTTGCAAACTTCAAACGTGCTGCAAATTCTTTTTGGACAGCAATGGCTTCTTCTGTGGTGTCCTCCCATGTACTCCATTCTTGTTTAATGTTTTTCCTTATTGTAGATGTGTCAAAAAATGTTAGCATGTGATTTCTGTAGGTCTTTATCTGACACTCTGGGATTCTTCTTTACCTCATGCAGCATTCTCGCTGTGCTCTTGCAGTCATTTTTACAGGACGATAACGCCTAGGGAGAGTAGCAACAGTGCTACACTTTCTCCATTTGTAGACAGTCTGTCTTACCATGGACACATGAACATCAAGGCTTTTGGAGATGCTTTTGTAACCCTTTCCAGCTTCAAAGTCAACAAATGTAGGTCTTCTGAGAGCTCTTTTCTGCGAGGCATGGTTCACATCAGACAGTGCTTCTTGAAACCAGTAAACCCAAAACAGTGTGTGTGTTTTTTAAGGGCAAGACAGCTGTCAGCAACAAATCCAAATCATCCCACTGATTGGAGTCAAGGTTGGCTCACTCCTGGCTCCAATTAGCTCTGGGAGAAGTCATTAAGCTAGGGCCTCACATACTTTTTTCCCTGCACTTAAATGTTTACATGTTATGTGCAATTAAACCATGGCAACATCTAATGTTTGTGCAGTATTATGTTCAGCGGACTGTGTTCTTCTAGTGACTTAGATGACATTCAGAGCACATTTTATGCCCAATTCATGCAAAACTCCACATAATCCCAAGGGGTTCACATACTTTTTCTTGCAACTGTAAGTCCTCAAATTTAGTGTACAGGTTGAGGGAGGATGGCTAGTGAAAAAAAATGTTTAAACTGAATGCATCTCTTTCTCTCTGAATCTAGTATAGAACAGGTGAGTTTGAGCAGGTTAAAAAATTAAATGCATCCGCCATCCAAAAATCTTTAGCAAATATGAAATTGTGTTCTGTTCACCACTTGAAGTCTTGTTCATTATGGAACACTAAAGGTAAAGCAGGGTTACCAAAAACATGAACAGGGGTACCATAGAGAAGGTCACCAGGAATTTGGAATTGTACAGGATTCAGGGACACCATGCATGGGTCACAGTTACGCAATATGGCATGAAATCTCTAAATCTCATTGAGCTCCCACACAGAATTACCAGCAAGTTAAAGGGACAAACTGCTTCCCTTTCAAATGCTGATCACTGAAGGCAAACTTGGATAGTTTCCCATTGAAGCACATGTGAGAGGTGGAAGGCCAAATTAAGCAGAAGTTGGGAAGGTCCAACCCCATAGTAAATGAGCAAGTAAATTCAAATGAGCCTTATGATAGAACTACTTTACCTAAAGGCAATGTCATGCTTGCACTTGGGGTGGCTGCCTAAATCCTGGAAAAGGGATGGGGTTGGGGGGGTCCAAAGTGGACATACAGAAGGCAGAGTGGTCAGGGTACAGGTCACATGTCATTCACTAGTTTACCGAAGATCAAGCAGAAGGCAGGACATTAGCACTGAGTCTGCACAGTTGCATGCTCTGAAAAGTGCTTTTATCCTCTCTTTGATACACTGCTATATAGCACAGAAGGAATGTGTGGATAGGAGGCAAGCCATAGATGATGCAGTTTTCTTTCTTGTGACTACGTTGCAGGGAAAAAAAAATCGCTAGATTCCCTCATCAACACACATAGTGTTGATGGGGGAATGCCTCTCGCAGCACAATTGTGTTCTGCTGGTGGGGAACCTTCCCTGTTGTCAGAACACAATGATCACTGCTGGCAGCTATAGCTGCTGGCAGTATTCTCATGCACAAAATCCGACAGGCTGGCTGTACTGACGTCAATCACTGGATCGACGCCAGTACAACCAGCCTGCCCATAGATAGATCGATCCATCTATGGCTGGCTTAAGTGCATTCATTTACGGGTGTTTTGACAGGTAAAATAGTATGTGCCTTCTGAGACATGATACTTTACAATTTTCATTTCATCCCTTGCAGCCATGTTGGATGAAGATGAGGAGGATCGGGTGGATGAAATAGCACTAAGGCAGCTGACAGAGATGGGATTTCCTGAGAGCAGAGCAGTGAAGGCCCTCCGGTTAAATCAGTAGGTACTTCTGAATTTGTGATAATGCTTCTTATTGCTGCACATACACTCGCCATATATTCCAGAAGCCAGTACTGGATGGAATATCACCTGGCAGCTTACAGCAGATACTCTGGGCAATTAATGAAACCGGATACCAGGATGGCTAACTGTACTGGGCTTTTTCCTTCCAATGAATCTGCAGATGTCAGTGTTCTGATATAGCAGCAGATATACAGTCACACATGCTCTCTGAGTAGTTATTTCAAATCTTAAGGTATTTTACTGTCTCAGCCCACTTTGGATCATTCATCTCAGTTGTGTGTGTTGTGTTGAATAACATACTTGTTGGTCTTGTTACCTTGATAACAAAAAATTTTGTCGGAGAGTTTGCCTCTCTCCGCCAGATGGAATGCTGCACTGTACTGAAGGATTTTATGCTGTTCTACTGTGAGAAATAATGAGGTTACAATTGCTGTTCTTCTTTTGAAAATGCTAGTGGCCTGGCTGTCACAGAACTTTGTACATTGAGACAATGTCCTGAAACTGGTATTCAGGTTAGGAAAATCTGTCAGAGATTGTCAGTGAATTAGAAAATTGGAAAACAATTGGATCACCCTGACAGTCAGGTGAATAGCAGTTTCAAGAGGAGAGGTCAGTGGTGTTGGCTTGAATACTTGCGTGTACGCTATCTTTCTTTTTAACCACTTCAAGTTCGGACACTTTTACCCCTTCCTGTCCAGGAAGCTTTCAGTTTTCAGTGCTATCACACTTTGAAGGACAATTGCGCGGTCATGCAACACTGTACCCATATTAATTTTTTAGCATTTTTTTGAGACAGATAAAGCTTTATTTCGGTGGTATTTATTCACCACTGGGATTTTTATTTTTTTGCTATATAAATGAAAGTCCAAAAATTTTGAAAAAAAGTGTTTATTTTTCAAATTTTGCAAATAATATTTCATCATAAATCTTGGCCAAAATTTATTCTGTTATCTTTTTTGTAGAAAAAAAACAAAAAAAAATGCAAATTAGTTTATAACCAAAAATTTATAATTAAAAATTTTTTTTTTACATACTGTACTACTTGTGGGGGGTGATTGAAGATTGTTTTTTTTTTTTACATTGATTGCTTTTACACCCATAAAGACTGTAAAAGCAATCATTTTCTCCTCCTCCTCTGGCTGCATTCTTGCAGCCATTGAGAAATACTGTGTGAGCTGTGATTGGTCACAGCTTGTCACATGGTACAAGGCTGTTGTGAATAGCCTTGTACCATGTGACCTCTGTGATCATTCACAGATTTCACACGTAGTAAGCAATTATGTCAGAAGTGACATCTTGCTTACTACTGTTCATGTGATCACTGTGGCCAATCAGTGATCACATGATCACGACCTCGCACAGAGGTCCCATACGATGATCGGTGTTCCACTGTGTCCGGAGGGCACCAGATCGCGGTGCTGCGTGCTCCTTTCCAAAATGGCAGGCACCGTTTATGAACGGCAACCCGCCCCTGGACTGCCACCGTCCGGCCGTTTATATACAGCGGCCGGACAGCAAGTGGTTAAATTTGAGGGAACTTGCCTCCTCTTTGAGGAGACAGGAGGCCCACTTCAAAGAAACTTGCTTTACTGGACCCAATTTACTTAACTTAAAGAGCTCCTTGAGTGGGACACTGTTAACTGGGGCTGTATTAGACCATGGGGTAGTTTCCATTCCTCCCCCACCAGTTTTTTTTTTTTTTTTTTTTTTTCTTCTCCCCGTCACCTGCCCCCCCCCCCCCCCTTCTCCTCTTCTTCAGTTTTATCCTCCTATAAGTTTTCGGCAGAGGGCAATAAGCCCCCCTTGCTAGTAACCTGTTTCCTATCTGTGATGGATGGGCTCATCTCGGGCAGCTCCTAAAGCAGGTATATTCTTTTGTATTTCTCCCTACTTGTTTGAGGTGACACCTTTCATGCAATTTCCTTCTACATGAACCATTGTTGCTGATTGGAGGACAGTTCCTCTCTGTGTAATCAGTTTATTTGATCCCAGAATATAAAAAAAAGAACATTCTGAGGGTTCTTTGGCATTTTTATGATGAAACCAGTATATTGTGACTGTGGGTATAAAGAGTTCTCTTTTTCATTGTCATGGCATTGTATGATGATTAAAGGTATATAGATTTACTACGTGATTTTTCTTTTTTCTTGGAGACATCCGTTCTTGCTGTTCCATTGTTTTATCTGTCCACTTGGACTCCATTTCATTCCCTCTCTCATTTTATGATTTTTTTTTTTTTCCTCTGTTATTGTCTCAGCATGTCCGTGACACAGGCCATGGAGTGGTTGATCGAGCACGCAGATGATCCAGCAGCAGACGCTCCTCTCCCAAATGACAACATGTTGGAAGCAATGGGAGATTCGGCCTCTGATGACCCCAGAATCAGCTTAGGAGCCACAGCAGAGGAGCCAACAGATGAACTCACAGAAATCTTTAAAAAGATTCGAAGGAAAAGAGAATTTCGGCCTGACCCTCGGGTGGGTTAACTAGTTGTTCAAAATGTTAAGGCATTTAAAAACCTGTATGGTATACAAAAGCCTTTGAGATCTTCATTTAAAGGACACCTGTACTCATAAAATACATTGGCTGCCATTGCAGAACCCCCTTTCAGGAAATACAACTTGTCTGGCTGTTAATTTAATCCCAAAACATCCATATAATTATTTGCCCAGAATATTGGCTTAACTAGCTTTAACTATGCTGAGTTGGCGACTCAAGTATTTAGTCCAGAGACAGCCAGGCAACAAGCATTTTCTGAATTGGATGTTGGCATACTTTTTCCCTGAAGCCTTTAGAACATTTATGATGCATATAGACAGTGCAGTGCACAGTCTAGGCAGATCTGGCTGTCAGTTTGACAGGTGGTGCTTCAGTCTGTAACAGTGATGGTGGCTACTACGTTAGCAATCACTGTGACAACTTGCTAGAGCTATTATACATCGTAAATTTGCAATACTTTATTGCCAAGTTAAATTGTTCCGTCTGTTCTCGCAGAGGGCATGCTTGTGAATAAAGATATTTCCTAATTATTCTTAAGGCTAGGTTCACACTATTGTGTTTACAGGTACCTGCAGCCAAATAGCAGACATGTGGGGATGCCATTTCATAATGACAGCCACACACATCTAAAAAACGCAATTTATTTTCAGGTGTGCAAAACTGCATGATGCTGCAGTACCATGCAGTTGCTTTGAGGGTGCGTTTTGGAAACAGCGTTGGGGACTTTTTCCCTGGATTTCCGCAGGTACAGCAGCCCATTCAAATTAATGGACTGCTGGGGCCCTCACAAACACGTCACCAGAACCCACAGTAGTGTTAACCTAGCCTAATTATCTCCTAGTATTTCGAGTCGCAGAATGTGGCAGGAGCAGGGGCTTGTAAAAAAAAAAAAAAAAAAAGAAAGCAAGCACCATCCCAGTATAACCACTTGACAATCAGTGACATACTAGACTTCAAGTGGTCAACTTCTCCCTATCCTCTTTTCTGCAGGTGATTTTTGTTTGCATTTTGTTATAAAAAAAAATACAAAACAAAAAAAAAACACTGTAAAAATAATGACAAGTAAGTTCACCATGCTTTCTACAAGGACTGTAGTTTTTGGGTGATAAAAGAGTTCAAATTGTGCAGCTTGTATCTGCAGTAACCAAGTTGTAGAAAACAAAATATTTTTTATAGGGGAATACCAGCAGAGGGGAACCATGTTTGTTCCCCAAAACTTATACATCTTGCTTTTCTATCATTAATAATGACACTGTTCATGTCAGATCTGTAGGTCCATAGCTGAAATGTGAACATTTCAGCAGGGATAACCAGCTACTAGGCTGTCCAAAAGGTGCTGAAGCCAATACAGCACATCTGTTAGAAGAAGGCAGTGTGGTGCATTCCCCCTTGAACCATAAAAAAGCTAATTTTATTCAAGTCTAACACCAGCAGTAGAATGGGGCCCCTGTGGACTAACTGTGTTCATATTGCTGTTGGCTACAGGTCAATGCACAAGGGTGAGGGATGAAATGTGCGTAGTCTTTGTACTGTATAGTATATGTTTTGATTTAGTGTCTTTGCTCCTCCTCCTCCTCTTAGGCTGTCATTGCTCTGATGGAGATGGGCTTTGATGAGAAAGAAGTGATTGATGCACTACGTGTGAATAACAATCAGCAGGATGCAGCTGTAAGTAGTACTTTTGATATTTATTTCAGGTACTTATATAGTGCCGTCAATTTACGCAGTGCTTTACATATATGTTGTACATTCACATCAGTCCCTAACCCTCAAGGGGTGTACAATCTAAGGTCCCTAACTTACATTCATACATACACATACTAGGGCCAATTTAGACAGGAGCCAATTAACCTACCAGCATGTCTTTAGAGTTCGGGAGGAAACCGGAGTACCCGGAGGTAACCCACGCAGGCACAGGGAGAACATTCAAACTCCAGCAGGTGGTGCCATGGTTGGGATTCGAACTAACGACCCTAGTACTGCCAGGCAGAAGTGCTAACCATTTAGCCACTGTGCTGCCCATATCTCAAGTTCTTTATGCACCCTTCTGTCACCATCCATACTTTTTATCATGTTTTTCCCTCTTTCTTTCCCCAATTCTCTCACTTTCTGCTACCCCCCCCAGCCTTTTTTTTCCCCCAATTTTTCTTCTTTTTTTTTTTTTTTTTCTTGTAATCTCCCTCCTTCTTTTTTTGTTTTTTTTGTTTTCTCACGGTCTCTCTTTTTTTTTCGTTTTTCTCTTACCCTTTTTTCTTTTCTTTCTCTTTTTTTTTTTTCTTCCTTTCTTTTTCCCTCTCCCTTTTATTTTTTTTTCTTTTATCTCTCTCTCCTCCACTACTTCTTTTACTTTTTCTTTCTCTCATCAGTCTCTAGAACAATGTAGTCATTCACATTTTTTTTTGCAGTGCGAGTGGCTTCTGGGAGACCGAAAACCATCCCCGGAGGAGCTGGACAAGGGAATTGACACATCTAGTCCTTTATTCCAAGCCATCCTAGATAACCCCGTTGTACAACTAGGCCTAACCAACCCTAAGACCTTGCTAGGTAAGTGTCCTGTGGAGTCACTCCTAAAACTACACTGCAGCCTGCCTTATCCTGGAGAAGTAAAGGTGGCACCATTTCACAGTGAAGCCATAATCCACTGGATCATCAAACGGTATTGTATGTATTGCTGCAGTTGTTGTGAGCATGCTTTGCTGCAGTAAATGGAATCCTCACGATTTGAGGGATTGCTCTCAAGCTAGATGATTTCAGTTTCATGTAGGGGTAGGAAGGATTTTACAATGAAATCATGGGGTTGATAGTCTGTCTTCCCTGCTCAGATTTAGAAGTGTCATGCTTTTTAAAGGAAAATGAGTGTATTCTCAGTTACGTCATGTATTCTTTTAATATCCTCCTGGGAGTAATTTTTGAGATTGCCTTCAGATTTTTTTTTTTTGTTACGATAATCATATTTCATATATAAATTAGCAGGTTAGAGCAAGACCTGATTGCCTTCTGAAAGGTGCTGAAAGTAGATCCAGTAGCCACTCAGAGACTTGGTGGTGGCTGTCCTTTTGAGCAGACCGTCTTGCACAAAAGGAAAGCAGTCGTAAAGCACAAGCTTTGAAAATCCTAATCAGGAAGCGCAGTTTGCATATATAATGTTTAAATCTGTCTGCCCCATACAGTGACACAATAGTGAGAAAAGAGGGACCCCCTAAGGCTGGGGACTTTAAAGGCTTAATTAGTACTATGAAATTATTTAAAAAAGTACAAACTTTTTATTTGTCAAATTGTTGTAACACATAAACATACAATACATCAATCAGAGTCATAACTCTGAATGATGTATGTCTAAGTGTTACAACAATTTTTTGACAAATAAAATGTTTGTACTTTTTTAAAATAATTTCATGGTACTAATTAAGCCTTTAAAGTCCCAAGCCTTAGGGGGTCCCTTTTTTTTCACTATTTTGTTGTTTTGGGGATGTTGGCTTATGATCAGGAATCTCCCTTTTTTCCCTGCATACAGTGACACAAGGTGTTTAAAACAACCCTTTGTGTAAAAAAATAAATAACTGAAAAAAATGCAGAAAAACAGAATCTCTGTGGGTGCCCACACCTTCTCAGCATGTTTAAACTAGGAAAAAACAACTTTTCTGCACAATATGCTATGTACAATATGCTGTGCTGTCAAGCAGCATCATGTAGTGGATGTGGTGTGTGCACATAGTATGAGAGGGTGTTTGGTACATCGACTATCGCCTACATTACAGATGGGGGGGAGTGGGGAAACTTGTTAATTGACTGTATTTAGCAATTTCCTTCATCTTTCCTGCATCTGACATGTCTTGTGTTGCTGATAATTTCATTGTGAGCTCAGTTACACAGGATATCTCATCATAGTACTGTACATTTCTTGGCTGTGATCTCAAATACCCTGCTGTGCCAGTGCTTAAATAGTAACATCACTAATAACTTTGCCCTCTTTGAGCTCCCTGTTAAAGCTGAAGCAGTTTTTAGAGAGCCTCTCTGCACTTCCTGAAGTTACAAAAGAAATCTTTACCTATGAATATATACAATAACAAACCGCAAATCTATGATTATATACAAAAACAAACCTAAAACTACTTTCCAGAAAACTTAAGGTAATCGTAAAGGTTCATTTTTATTTAACCACTTTAATACTGCCTCCCTCCTTCCTTTTTAAACTCTCAGTGCTGTCACATTTGAATGACAATTGCGCGGTCATGCAACACTGTACCCATATGAAATTTTTAGCATTTTTTTTAAACAGAGCTTTATTTTGGTGGTATTTAATCACTGGGAATTTATTTTTTTTCCTAAACAAAAAAAAAAGAAGACTGAAAATTTGGGGGGGGAAAAAACTTTTTTCTTAGTTTGTTATAAAATTTTGCAAATAAGTAACTTTTCATCTTCACTGATGAGGTGGCACTAATAGCTGGCACTGATGGGGCTGCACTGATAATAAGACGTGCAAGGACAGGACTGCCGATGACCGGCAAGTCTGTTTACATGTGATCAGCTGTGATTGGATACAGCTGGTCACATGATAAAGGGCTGCCATGATTGGCCCTTTACCTCAATCTGTGATCAGCTACGTTCAAAGAACACTGCCTGATGCGCGCCTTGTGGGCAAGTTCTGGGAGGATCATATTTCTCCTTTTTCATTTTCAGAGGAACAGGTCACACATTATTTGACGTAGCACATACACATAGTAATCCCATAGAAAGTTGTGCTGCACTTTTATTTCTGGAGTAGATCAGGGACAGAAAGTCCCCAGCCTGCTTCTTACTTGGCACTCCTGCGTGCTTCTGGGTTAATTTATCCCAGAGGAGATCAGTGAAAGGGAGTTCACTGATCTACTTTTTCTCTCCATCCTGATTTCCCTTACAGAGGTCACAGGGTTAGAGTGGAGCCAGGGGAGCTCAGAGAAGGAGCAGGATCAAGGTATAAAAGGATTTGTTGCTGGGGTGTTGTTGTGTGTGCGTGTGTATGTGTGTGGTGTGTATATGTGTCACGTCTATGATAGTGAGCTCTATCAAACCACAGCTTGGAGTTCCCCAGAGCGCGGAGTCTAAGCCCCAGCCTGCTTGTTCACCAGCGCCCCTGATGGTGGGGATGGACTTGGAGCAGGCTGGAACCAGGTCGTGGCCCCCAGGTACACCCAGCTGAGGTAGAAGAGACTGCTAGCGGGAGCAGGGTACAATGGGAGTAGAGACAGGGGATCCAGTTGGCAATCCGAGGTCAGGACAGGCGGGAAACTAGCAAAGTCAGGAACAAAGCCGGATCGGTACACAGGTAGACAATATAGGAGGAATTTCAGGGACGAAGCCGGGGTCGGTACACAGATATACTAAACGGATTCTCAGTAGAGCACAGGGGAGCTCCAACAACAAACGTTGCTCAGGCAATGTGGCCCAGTCTGAGCACATGTTAAATAGACAGGCAGACAAGGAGGTGGGACAGAAAGTGATGGAAGGGAAGGACATAAAACCCAGGGAATAGCAGACGATGCCCACAGGTGAGCACAGACAAACACACATGTGAAGGAAACAAGGGCAGCAAGGAGGTAAGTGTAAACACACAAGAGGCTGCAAGCTAACTTGTGACAATATGTGTATATATATGTATGTATGTGTGTGTGTGTGTGTGTGTGTGTGTGTGTGTGTGTGTGTGTGTGTATATATATATATATATCACACAATATACTACAGGTGAAAATACAGATAGGGAGAACATTTAGAGCTTTTTCACACTAACAGACCATGGTATACCATTGCAGCTGGTGTGTGCTGTAAAGGGGACAAGGTGCATCAATAGACGCAGACAGGGCAGCTTGGGAGCAAGCCTGCATGGGTGCCCCCATGGAAAGTGGCTTTCCATGGGGGCAGTTGCCGAAGAGGAGGAGCCTGGAGCACTGGCGGGGAATCCCAGAAGAAGAGGATTGGGGATGCTCTGTGCAAAATGTAAGTATAACATGTTTGTTCTTTTAATTGGAAAAAAAAATAAGGTTCAATGTCACTTTAACCTAATTGAAATGTCTCACATTGAAGTTTCATATTTATACAACCCAACATATTTAGATGCAATGTAGTGTGCCCCAACAATCTGCACTGTGTAAAAATGCAACATGTCATACTTTTTTTTGCGGTGTCAACTGAACACATAGGACACAAGGCATGAATAGTGGTGTGAGTGGGTACTTAAAGTGATTCTAAAGGTTGTAATTTTTTTTTTTTTTAAATAGAAAATGTTTTACTTACCTGCTCCCTGTAATGGTTTTACACAGAACAGCCCAGATCCTGTTCATTTTGGGTCCCCTGCCAGTGGTCCTGGCTCCTTCCCCCTGCTGAGTGCCCCCAATAACAGGCCTCTTGCTTTGGGGGCACTCGAGCAGGCTTGCTCCAGAGCTGCACTCCTGTGAATGGACATTGTTTATTCACACCGCTCTCTCTTCATTGGCTCACTGGCTGTGATTGACAGCAACAGTAGTCAATGGCTCCCGCTGCTGCAAGAGCCAATGAGGAGAGATCTGGGAGAGCCACTGCTCTCATGCACATTGCTGGATCGAGATGGGGCTCAGGTAAGAACGGGGGGGGCTGAGGGGGAAGCTGCACCCAGAAGGCTTTTTTTTTTTTTTGTTAGAATGCATGAAGGTAAAACACCTTCTTCCTTTTCAACCACTTTAAAATGTATTTGCATATTTTTTTCACTCTGAAATTCAGGGCTTGCAGGTCATGAAAAGTTATGCCTGAATTTTCTCTTCACAGCCATCATTGAGAGGTAATCTTGATAAACAAAACCTGCTTAGCAGTGTTCTATCATTTTTGTAACACCGTTTACAACTTCTTTGTGGATTAAGAATCTGTGTAAATATTGTAGCTATGTAAAGCAAAAGTCTTCAGTGATAAATGTTACCTGCACACCACCCAAATCACAAATTTGTTTTAAAAAAGTAATAATGGGAATGTATATATTTGTATATAATTCCTGGTATGGTTTATTGTGGTCAAGACTGAAAAATATAGACTTCCTTTAACATTTAGTCAGTCTAAAATGAAATGTTGCCAAAAAAATAAAGATTGGCCGCACTGACAACGATGTAGCAGAATAAAATCCTTTATTGGAATCTTTACAAACTGTGTAATAAGAACATCACAGCTCCAAGACTTGACAGAGAAACGGTAAACGCATTTCACACGAACAAGTGCTTAGTCATGTAATTGTCATTGTTCCTGTGATCATGGATCGGGCCGGCACCAACATGAATGTGGAGGGGCTATATATCCAGCACTCACCTGGACCTGTCTGTTTGTTTTCCTAAAATGAAATGTATATTATATGCTGTCTTTTGTCCTGCCAGCAGATGGAGTTGTAGTCTTCAGACATCAGCTTCCAGAATTACTAAAAGGAACCCATTGTTTACAGAACCAAGAAACAGATACATTTGTGGCCCCCCCAAAAATTATAGCTTCCCTTTAACATTTACAGTTGTGCTCAAAGGTTTGCATACCCTGGCAGAAATTGTGAAATTTTGGCATTGATATTGAAAATACGACTGATCATGCCTAAAAATGCTCTTTTATTGAAGGATGATGATCATATGAAGCCATTTATTATCAAATAGTTGTTTGGCTCCTTTTTAAATCATAATGATAACAGAAATCACCCAACAGGCCCTGATCAAAAGTTTACATCCCCTGGAATGTTTGTCCTTGGTACAGACACACAAGGTGACACACACGGGTTAAAATGCCAATTAGAGGTTAATGTCCCACATCTGTGGCTTTTTAAATTGCAATTAGTATAAAAAATGAGCTGCATGGTCGAGGTGCCAGAAAAAAGCCTTTACTGCATCAATGACACAAAAAGGCCTGGTTAGGCATGTCAAGGTGTTGTCAGGCATATTGTAACCAGGATTTTGTGGCATTGATGCAGTAAAAGCTTCTTTCTGGTACTTCGACCAAACAGCTCATTTTTGTTCAAGTATCACTATATTGTACTCCTTAAAAATAACCACACCATCTTTTTCCAGAGCAGCCTGTTTTTCTTTTGAGGTTGCCTGTGGGTTTTTCTTTGAATCCTGGACAATTCTTCTGTCTGTTATGGCTGCAATCTTTCTTGGTCTACCTGACCTTGGCTTGGTATCAAGAGATCCCCGAACTTTCCACTTCTTAATAGGTGATTTAACAGTACTGATTGGCATATTCAAGGCTTTGGACATCTTTTTTTTGTCCTTTTCCATTTCCTTTATAAAGTTCCATTACCTTGTTATGCAGTACTTTTGACAGTTCTTTTCTGATCCCCATGGCTCAGTATTTAGCCTAGTCAGTGCTTCCACGTAAGAGCTAACAAACTCATTAACTATTTATACACTGACACTAATTGCAATTTAAAAAGATGTGGGACATTAACCTCTAATTGTCATTTTAACCCGTGTGTGTCACCTTGTGTGTCTGTACCAAGGCCAAACATTCCAGGGGATGTAAACTTTTGATCAGGGCCATTTGGGTGATTTCTGGTATCATTATGATTTACAAAGGAGCCAAACAACTATTTGATAACAAATGGCTTCATATGATCATCATCCTTCAATAAAAGAGCATTTTTAGGCATGATCAGTCATATTTTCAATATCAATGCCACAATTTCTGCCAGGGTATGTAAACTTTTGAGCACAACTGTATAGGGACTTGAATAAAGGCAGAAATATGACTATATTTATAAATAAAACCTGTGCATTTTGTTAAGCCATCAGACCAACAATATTACAACATTAGCCTGCATTTTTCCAATCACGAATATAATCTTTCTTGTAGATTGATGAAGATGTATGAATGTTGGTACATCCCACACAAATCAGTGTGGTTAGTGAACTACAGACCCTGCATTTTCTAAATTTTGTGACTACCTTTTTTTTTCTTTTTCCAGCATTTGAAGATATGCTTGAAAACCCCTTAAACAGCACGCAGTGGATGAATGACTCTGAAACAGGTCCCGTCATGCTGCAGATTTCTAGAATTTTTCAGACCTTAAACCGCACGTAGGAGGCGCTGTGACTTTGGAGGAATCGCCTTTGCTTTATTATGTCCTGGGGGACTTGGGGAAAGAATACCAAAATATTAATGATTGCATTGTTTCTCAGCCCCTGTCATTTATTCAGCTCAGGAGAGTGTGAGTGTGAATTTTCTTTACTCACGAAAACCACTTAGATTTGTGAGCTTATTGGTGTTGTTTTGTGATTAGACGGTGAAGTTGTTAAAGTGCAAGTTCACCTTTTGTACTACAAGAAAAGAGAACGAAACACACACACACACACACACACACACATCCCTCCTATGGATCATTTGCTTCTGGAATCTGAAATGATGGTGCCCTCCTAAAAAGTTTGCTTTCATATGTAAAATTGAAGGAAAAAAAGGCACACTTTTAATTTCATCCTTAAAATGTAGTCGAGTTCTTGTTATGGCCTTTTGCTAAAGGTAATTTTTTGGTATGAAGTGTTCATTTTTTGACTTGTTTCACCATTTTTTTTTTTTTAGGGTATTTTTAAAAAATTTGTACATTTGGCCTTTATTATCTGTTCATTTGGAGGGATTACTAAAGTTCATTCAGGGATATTAATACACTGCTGAGATATCAGGATAGGCCAACCAGACATTTTGTTGTTTTTAATCAATCTGACAAACTTGCATTTTTAAGATGGCCATACATTTTCTTTATCTGATACGATGGTGATTAAAAAAAACATTGGAACAAATTACCTATTCCTGATCTTCCAGGGGCCTATGATGAGCAAACTGGCTGGCAGTACACATCGTGTGGGAAATTGTGCTCTGATGACTTGATCCCCTTTCATTCCTGAGGAGAGATCATTTGCATGTACACCCTAAGAGGCACTTTAGAGCACAAACATTGTACAGGGTTACTAACAAGACCGCATATGTAATTACTTATCACCAAACAAAACCTACACCCAGAGATCCTTGTACACATGTGCAACTTTTAGTGCTCCTATTGTTCACTATTTCCTGTACTGTCAAAGCTCGCACACACTTCCACCCCGTCCATCTCCCACACACTTCTATTAGCCAGGGACTGCATCATTGTAATGTGCCTATAAGATTGTATGGGGGGGGGGGGAGCAATACAGATTGGACAGGCTCAAAGAATACAAAACCATGTCAGAGCTTTGTTTGATGAAAACGAGGCTGCATTTGGGGTGAGTGGGGACATTGAAAGCTACCCTTATATTGCATAGAAATAAACTTTAAAAATAAAAGATTTATTTCAGCATAGAATAATTTGCTTTATGAACCATTTTTTGAATGTCAGCCTTTTATTCTTTAAGCTGTGGGGCAGAGGGCATTGTGAGCTCTGACTAAGATCTTCCTTGCTGAACCACGTGTTATGGAGAAGAGGATAAGGGAAGGTGTTCAGTAGTCCAGCAGGGATCAACTCAGGCAGGGCTAACACTGCTATCTATTTCAGTGCAGCAGAGTCAGCATTGTTAGCCCACTACAGGAAGTGCAGGCAAAAAACAGAGCCAGTGCTTTCAGGAGATGAGTGTTTTGTCTCTAAAAAAAAATGCCCAATGTGCCTAAACATGCCTCACGTCTTTGCTAGGTGCGTTGAGCACTTGAGCGTTCATTTCAATTGCCAGAATAAATTACTTTTCTGGCCAATAAAATTAATGAACGCCCAAACGCTTGATGTGCTTAAACACATTTGCCGAAATGCGGCTTTAGGTGCATTTTCTCCTTCCTGAAGAAAGGCTCTGAGAAAAGCTGGACAAACGCCAAGTGTGCATGGGGCCTTAAATTGAGGAAATTCCTTACCTGTGCTGCTTCTGGCCACAGCTTCACAGCCTGATGGTTACCATTTGGGTTTAGGTGACTCCAGGGCTAATTTTGTTTACTGCTGTTTGGATTTCGATGTACATACAGATCACACATTGCAACCTGTAAAATGTCAAACGTTGGGAAAGGAGGGAAGGCCAAAGCAAAGTGAAACTGTAATGCCAAGTAGCTGAAAAAAATAAAAAATTCACAGCACATATGATACAGGTGAACTTGCACTTTAATGAATACAATGATGGGTGTGAGCTGCAGCTGATTTGACATGTTGTACTGGTACTGTCATGTGATTTCCTAATTTGCACAACAGGTCTTTGGTCATGTCCACCTTGTTGCATGGTTTTCAGACATCTGGTCAATCCCCACCAGACAAGTCTTAATGAAGCTATTCCCGTTTCTTAATTTTGATTAGTTTTGAAGGCAGCAAGCTGGACAACACTAGAGAGATGTTTTCCAAAATTGGATCAGTCTTGCTGTTCTTGCAGAATTTTCAATGCTTGAGGTACTATTTTTCTGCCATTCACTGAGGGGGGATGCAAGTATGAAAGTCTTGTCTTGTGGAACCTGCATGTTTGCTCTGTATAGGTAAATATTGCCATTGGGACCCCTACTGCCTCCTGAGAGACCCAGCGATACACTGCTCTTCTAATACAGCCCTCTGAGCAATGAGAAGAGACACTTCCACCATATAAAAGAATCACAAATGAAATTTGTTGGTCTAACTCAACTTGCTGCATAATGTTTGCAGTCAGTCAGTGACTATATTGAGACCAGAGCATCAGCTTGATAGCCATACCCGAAGGAGCTTAGCAAGAGCAGCCCCTGTGTTTCAGTTATTGCAAGTTTTTTTTTTTTTTTTTGCATCTCTATACTCCCTCCAGTGCCTGGTCGATGTCCTAAGATTGAGTTACTATGCTGATTCTAGTGAATGCTACTAAACCCTGTATAGGGCACAACCATGGACTGAAAGTATCTTCTTCTTTGAGCTCCATTTGGTCCTCTTCTTACATGCCAAGCTTTGCCAAATGCCAACAATGGTGCATATCACATATGTTGAGTGTGAAGGTTAGAGTGGGGATGGCAAATGTTTCATAATACATATGTCAAGATGATGTCTGAAAATGTTTTCCTAAGAACATGTTGATTGCAGATGAATTAATCTCAAATATAAACTTGCACATGCAAGCCTTTGATCATGTGACCACCCACATCATATTGTAGTATCCACCATAGTTGTTTGCTCTCTATGACAATGTTCCCAGCTGCTAGTACCATTGAATATAGATACATTGATATATTTCAGTTTGTCCTTCCTGACAGCATCCTTTACCCAAAATATGACCCTACCCTCTAATCCTCCAGAAAGCATGGAGTTTATAAAGACCTACCTTAGCACAACTGCCCAGTGTTTTGCTGTCCCAGTGCAGAGTTAATGGAGATATTTATCTTGGGACAAGTATGTAAAATCATCTTTACCAATATCTCAGTTCATATAGATCAGGGGTGTCAAACTGGCGAAACCTCAAGTCCCATCATGCCTCTGCCTTTAGCAGTCATGCTTGTAACTGTCAATCTTGTAATGCCTTATGAGACTTGTAGTTTGGCAACAGCTGGAGGGCCGCCAGTTTGACACCCATGATATAGATGATTTAATGATGGGAGGAGCTATGTTTCTTTTAGAATCCTCTCAAATAAGGCAGGGGCTATAAAGTGGAATTATAAATTTAGGTTTCAGTATTTTTATTACCAGATAACCTCTGTGACTACTGACTAGTATATTGCTTCCTGCAAGCTAGGCTTGGTTTAATGTTGCACTTGTATAATAATCTCCAGGAGATGTTGAAAAGATAATTTAGGGCAGGTTTTCTAAAAATACCAGTTTACTGCCCCATTGGATAAGTAGAATCCCTCTGTTGGGTAAAGGGTGCTGTCATAAAGGATACCTGGAAATGCAGTCCTCTGAGCTGTTGTTCTACAGAGAACCTTCAATAAGTGTTGGGTGTGGGAACAGTGTGAAATGGCTGAACAGCCTGTAGTTTCTGACCAGATAAATGCCTTTCACCCCCCTCACTAGCTTCTTTTGCTTATTTGATAATGCTGGGACTTACCATTCAACATCAATCAACTGTCTGGGATGTGTCATCCCAGAGTCACTAAAGATGTATCATGCATTTTTACACAATTCAATGAAATGTTTTTAACAATCTGATATACCTCCTATCCTAAGGAAAAAAATATATTTATTTATTGCCTCAATCTCCTGTTATTCTTACATGTCAATTGAAGAAATGGTAATGAATGTAATATTGACATCTGTCATATATTCTACTACATCATTTTTTTTAATTGTGTTAAGTATTTTCTATTATTTTAGTTAGAAACTGCATCCAAACAGCTAAATCTATATTTGAAATGTAAAAATGAATCCTTTGCCTGCCAAAAGATGTGTACAGTAAAGCATGTACAATATGTATATATGTTCAACATACGCTTCTGTGCATAGCAGAGCACTCATTTCTGCAGACCTCATTGTGAGGATGGTTGAGGTTTCTGACCCTGTAGGGTCACCTAGACACCTCCAGAATCTGCCCAGCAGCTTAAATATCAGGCATCTCTATTGCTCTATGCTGTCTGAATTGGAAAAATATTACATGGCTGTTGAAGAAATGCATGGGTAAAATGTGGAATATCCTGTGAAGTCGTTTATGGATTCTCTAGGAGACATTAAAGTAGAAATATAGACATAACTTTTTTCATTTTGTATAGAGTAAGGGAGGATTATAACCCCTGTCAGTTTATTTTTTTCCATTTGTGTCCCATTGGGGAGATTTCATGTCCCATAACCAAAACTGGAAGTGAGCAGAAATCCCTGCAAATTAAGGGAATCCCTTGGGGATCCCTAGGTCACCAGAATGAGTGTCCCCATTGGAAGATTTCCCGTCTCTTGTTTTTCTGGGGACAACTACATATTTGGGATTTTCTTTTACTTTCACTGCTAATGGTGAACAGGACAAACAGAGAGAGTGAATCTCCCTAATAGGGGGAACAGACAGGAATAAAAACCTGTCAGGTATTCTAATCAATCTCCTCAATGCAAAACTAAATAAAAACTTTTGCCTTTAGTTATACTTTGATATTGATCACCTGGTAATAAATACATTAAAGATGAAGTGGCTTTGCCTAACAGATCC